GGGAGGGAGGTGGACGCAGCCAGGAGCCATTATCTGCTGAGACTCACGGGCAGGCTGTCCCTCGTGTGCGTGTGCTTTTTCCTCCTCCAGCCGGTGCGGTTGTACTGGTGGTGTCCGCGGTTGCCCACAGGGGGCCGCACGCCTCCACTGCCCACAGAGCTGTAGCCGCTGCCTTGGGCGTGGCTGTGAGAGCCTTTCATGGACAGCTTCACGCCGTTGTGCTGCTGGAGAGAGGGGAGGCGGTGAAGTCGGGACTCAGCTCAGACACTAGACAGGGCCCTGGGACCTGCCCCAGTCGACCGTGTGCAAAGCTCACTCAGGCAGCAAGCCCAGGGGTCAGAGCCATGCCACTCTCTTCAGTACATGGCAGACCCGGCACGAGAGCCTGCAGATGCCACCAGCCCTTGAGAACAGAGGTGTGAACTGGCAAAATGGGATGTGACAAGCCAGAGACCGACAGGAGTGAGAACCTGAGCCCTGCTGAATGGACCAGAAGGCACTACAGCCTGGGGGACACACTGCAGCCTGCCCGGATCCTCCTGGAGCCCTGGCCATGCCCTCCCAAACACCTAGGCCCGTTAAAAGCACCAGGACCTACACCTGCTTGGCTGTCCCGGTGTGGTCTCCATTGCACTTTCCATACTAAGAGAAGCCACAGGGGCCCAGGCAAGAGCATCCTGGGACCCCAGGGTCCAACCAGCACACAAGGGCACCCCCCCCCCGCCTCTGCCTGGACACCCAGAGGGGGATCAAACACTGGGCGCAGTGGTCCCACCTGGGAGAGGTGTGGCAAGGCTGGCTCTTGGTTTATTGTTTGCTTTCAATAACCAAAATATTCAGCATAAAACAAAACATTCTTCATTCTACAGTCTTCATTCCAAATTTCAGTTTTTTGCTAACCAGTTTATTAGAAGGATCAAGAGAGAACACCTTGGGACCAACAGTTGGCATAATGCCTATGTCACTGGACTCCCATGTAGTCAACCGCGGTTTGAGTCCCGGACCCGGTGGCTTAAACTCACGCCAGGCGTGTGTGCATGCCCAAGATCCCGAGAGGAGAAGGGATTGCGGCATGGCCATCCCCCCAGGGGGTGATTTCTTGCTTCCTGTCTCTCTGTCTCTCTCCATCTTTCTGGCGAGTGCACGCACCCTGTAGCAAAAACCTCTCAAAAAAAAAAAAAAAAAAGAGACCATCTTGAGTTTTACCAGGAAGGAATAAAACATGAAGCTGAATGACCAGAAAGCAAGCTACCCTTCTGGAAGTTTCTCTGGAATCTTCTCCTGAAAGAGAAAATGCAGCACGCCACCCAGCACGCAGCCACTTCAGAGGACGCACCAAGGGCACCAGGACACCAGGGCTGGGGACAGAGACCCACCTTGTGATACAGATGAGGGCTTGACAGCGGGTTGGGGGACGCCGAGGGAATGGCTGGGGAAGGCATGTGGTGGGCAGCTTTCAGGGATGCGGCTCCTTCAACACCAGCTTGTCTACAAGGAACAGGGGCAACCCCGAGGGTCGGTGGAGGTACAGTAAACCTGGTCTGGGGACAAAACACAGACGTCCACAAGTGCCGAACAAACAGCGGCAACCCGTCCCGGCTCCACACGGGCACAGCGGCGGGGGGGGACAGGAACAAACAGCGGCCACCCGTCCCGGCTCCACACGGGCACAGCGGCGGGCGGCACCGAGAGCCCTCTGCACACAGGCCCGGCAGAACGGTCGGTGCACAGCCTGCCGATGCCCAGTCTGACATGAACACGCCTGCCCAGAAGCAGCTAGTAAACCGTG